TTTTTCTTCCTGCTCCAAAGTTCACTTTGGTATTTCTTTTGTACAAATATGAGGCAAAGGAAGGGGTTTGTATGTGTGTGTGTGTATTTTGTGTAAATGCTGGGTATTTTATGCATGGATTGTTAGGTTTCTTTTTTCTTTTTTGGGGGGCTACCAGGGACTGAGCTAAGGGGCACTCAACCACAGAGCCACATCCTCAGCCCTATTTTGTATTTTATTTAAAGACAATGTCTCACTGAGTTGCTTAGCACCTTGCTTTTGTTGAGGCTGACTTTGAACTCTTGGTCCTCTTGTCTTGGCCTCCCGAGCCACTGGGATTAGAGGTATACTCTGCCGTGCTGAGCTTCATATCTTGTTTTTTAATTGTTCTATTAATTTCTGTCTTGTATGATTTTCCTTGAGAAGTATGCTATTTATTCTTCTTTCAAGAAACGGTGCCCTTTACTCTTGTGATACTAAATTTTTCTCTGGGTTGGTTTTTATTTGTTTACCATGTCATGTTGTGGTGGCTGGCATCTAAAATGAACATCAATAATCCCTTCCCCTTCAGTGTGGATTGGATTTACTGCTTTATTTTGCCATCAAAAATATATGTCAGAAATTTTGGTGTACACCAAAATTTATATATATATATATATGTATATATATATATATATATATATATATATATATATATATATATATATATATACACACACACACACACACATACACACACACAAGTACCTCTCACATGCGAGGTAATAAGCACTTTACCACTGAGCTACAGCCTCAGCCCTATATTGGTATATTTTTGATACCTTTACTTTTTAAAAATATTTTTAGTTGTAAATGGACATAATGCCTTTATTTTATTTATTTATTTTTATGTGGTGCTGAGGATTGAACCCAGTGCCTCACACTTGCTAGGCAAGCACTCTACCACTGAGTCATAACACCAGCCCACCTTTACTTACTTTTTTTAAGGGCTCTTATACACATTTTGTAATTTTTCTCAGTGGAAAAGGTACTCTGATTAGTTATTGTACAGGGTGAGCCTAATTGTGTATAGAACTAAAGAGAATTTTTGTTTTTTTGGAATGTTGTTACTGAAGCAGCATTGTAAGCACAACTACAAGCTAATCCTTTAGGTGGAAAGTTACTGTCCCTTTCTCCTAGTGAGGCTTGTTGGCTTAGGGTACTACACTCTTATCTACTTAGGTGTTCTGTTTTGTCTGCTTCTTTAGCTCTTATCAGCTAAGGGTACATTTGACAAAAGTGATTTTTTTAAAGCTATTTATGCCATTTATACTATAACTTTATGAAGTTATATATGACATTTTCTCTATGAAAATTTAAATTCTTTTGAAAACTATGTAGGTGAAATAATAAAGCAATTGTTCATGGATTTATTTTATTTAATTAAACTGTAAAACACTAAGGATAAATCTCATAAAAATCTAGAATTTTTTTTTTTTTTTTTTTATTGGTACTGAGGATTGAACTCAGGTGCAATCAACCACTGAGCCACATCCCCAGCTCTATTTTGTATTTTATTTAGAGACAGGGTCTCACTGATTTGCACCTTGCTTTTGCTGAGGCTGGCTTTTAATTTTCCCATCTTAGCCTCTTAAGCTGCTGGGATTATAGGCGTTTGCCACCATGCCCAGTTTGGAGTATTCTTTTCAAAGTGTTTCTCAAGTATGTTCAAGAGTTTCTTTCCTTTTTTTTTTTTTTTTTTTTCCTTTTTTTTTTTTTATGGTATTGGGATAGAACCCAGGGTTTTTCAACCACTTTTCTACAACCCCAACCCTTTTTATTTTTTATTATGTGACTGGGTCTCACTAAGTTCCCTAGCTGCCATTGAATTAGTGATCCTCCTCCCTTAGCCTCCCAAGTAGCTGGGTTTACAAGGCATGCCCACTCATGTGCTTCTTTTAGGGTGTTTCTCCATCTTAAATAAACAGAAATTAGAATAATACTGTATTCTGGGAGTGTGATTTATGTATTAAGAAGATAGAGACTTCTTGTCTTTGGACCCATATTTAAGAAGATCTCATCCAAACTTCAGGATATTTATGACAGATTAGACATATATTTGCTACATTAAAATATAAGTATCAAGTTTGATGTATATATGTATATATTTGTGTGTGTGTATATATATATGTATATATTTGTGTGTGTGTATATATATGTATATATTTGTAATTTGATATGATTTCTGCTATATCTAACCTCTTGGAGGAATTAGTTACTGGTTTGAGCTTTATCTTGTAAACGTGTTTCTACTATACTTTAAATTCTGAAAGGCTGTTATATTCTACCCTTTCACAAAGAAAAAAAATTCAGACTTTTTAATTGAATAATTTACATAATTTTCACTTAAGTTTGGTTTTAGGTAATATACTAGTTAAAGACCATAAATTAATATGTTTTTTTCCAAGTACATACAAGCTCTTTCTAGGTTCCAGTACTCAGCCAGAGTTAAACAAAACAGATAATTATTTGGTGACCCTTGCTCATTTGCTAGCAACTTTCATAAATTATACAGATGTTTATCTCTATACAAAAATCACCAGATATTTGTGTTTTCTTTTGGTTATTTTGTATTCTATAAACCGAGGATGAGAGTCAATTTCTTTCTTTCTTTTCTTTTTTTTTTTTTGAGAGAGAGAGAGAAAGAGAGAGAATTTTTTAATATTTATTTTTAGTTTTCGGTGGACACACAACATCTTTATTTTTATTTTTATGTGGTGCTGAGGATCGAGCCCAGTGCCCCGCGCATGCCAGGCAAGTGCGCTACCGCTTGAACCACGTCCCCAGTCCTCAATTTCTTTTTATTAAATATTTATAGTGGGTGTGCTCTGAACAAACCTATCAAGCCAAATGTGATTCATTCTTGTTCAAAGAGATTGTAGTTCAGAAAACCACTTTAGTACACAGTGACAACAAAATCAAAAGGTATCTTGTGCCTTTTCCTATGAATATAAATTTTCAAATTTAAAAACATGACTTTTGATGGTTTAAGCGAAAGCTTTTATATATGTGATCCATTTTAATTATGTAACCATTGCTTTTACATTTACATGAAACCTTAAGAGCAGCAGGAATAGTTATCTATATTTGTCAGGCCTTTAACAAATTAGGAAAAGACACTTGATATTAAATACTGTCTCATGATCATTATTTTTACTATTGTGCTCCTACTAAGTTTATTCTTGGGATGCCTCCACACCTGGTCTCTTGTAATATCAGAGCTTCTACTTCAGTGGATTTTTTCTAATTGAGTATCTGTTCTCAGAATGTGATTTGTCCATTCCAGCTTACTATAACAAAAGTCCAAATGTTTTTTCCTTTGTAAGCATACCATAGGCGTTAGGACCTGGTGTGTGGGATCTTCAGCCTGTCACAAATTTCGTTATGCCATCTGCTTCAACCTGAGTGGGGTGTCTTCTGCTGTCAGACTTTGCTGAAGTTTCCATGGCTCAGGATTAAACAAAAAAAATCAATCTTGGCATAAAAAGCTTGTTTTTGAAAAAATAATTGATTATGCCTACTGTAGTTTTAAAATTATCATTTGATAGGATTCCCAAAAGCCTCCTCTCAACACATTGATCTCTTTTTCATCCATGATTATAGATAGCTAACACAATAGATGAATTATTGGTAACTTTAGTAACAATGAATTTTCTGTTTTAATTTTTTAAGATAGGTAACACCATCCTATGGATGGATTGTGACTTTGTGAAATATTTTGATAGCTTTGATTGATGGATTCTATGAATCTCTTATCATATTTCCAGAAATTGTATTTTATGAGTATATGCTTTATCCATACTACAAAGAAAATAAGAACAACTTGATGAAAACAATGTAGGTCACAAATTACTTATTTTATTTTTAGAGAGAGAGAGAGAGAGAGAGAATTCTAATATTTATTTTTTAGTTTTTGGTGGACACAACATCTTTGTTTGTATGTGGAGCTGAGGATTGAACCCAGGCCGCATGCATGCCAGGCGAGCGCGCTACCGCTTGAGCCACATCCCCAGCCCAACAAATTACTTATTAACGATGTGACTGTGTAATTTTGTTATCAGTAAAAAGAAAATAATGACAACTTGAAAAATTGTTTGGGAGACTGGATCAACATAGTTTCTTAAAAAACAGATAGTTTATTCTGTAAATGTATATTGAAGAACAATGGGAAATGAGGACCAAGGAGAAAATAACATAATAAGATTCTTCCACTGGAAAATTTTACATTCCAATTTTCTTCTATTGATTAGGATGGATGCTCTATGAACAACAGGGTATATATATATGTTAGGGGTTGTTAAGTGCTATTAAAATAATTAGGGTGAGCTCAGGAAGCAAGATGGTGGATGCTATGTTGAATAGAGTTGACAGAGAGGGATTCTTAAAGGTAAGGTTGAGCACAATTGAATGAAATAAAAGAGAAAGCCTATGGATATTTGGGGAAGGATAAACCTGTCTGGTAGAGTGAGCAGCTTGGCAGTTTGGACAGTGACATCAGTACAGCTGAAGATAGTAATAGGACATACTGCTATGAGATGAGGTAAGGGTGATCCAAGCACATCATTGATGTAATCTTTCGGATACACAGTTACAGATAAAAAGTCACATTCATGACACCCTGTGGAAGTATAACATGAGTGTTGACTATTTGCATTGCTGTGTCAGTTAGTTAGCTTTAATTTAGAGCTTACACACACAATTATAATCTTTCAAAATGTTACTTTATTATTTAATGTCTTGTACCAGGAGTTAGATATACTGCAAAGTGTGAAGACACAGTCCTTCAAACCTCCATCTCTGCCCATCACTTTTGACACTGATAGGAATTAATGTCTAGTTCCCAGGTTCAAGGTGAAAGTACCTCCAAAACACCCACATTCTGACACCAGCTGCAAGTTTGGGGAGTTCCCAAAGCTATCCTTGATAATTTCATAATTCATTGTAAGGTGTATTAATGTTAATAAATTCTGTATTATTCTTAGGTTAGCATTGCAACTTCAACAACTTCAAGTGTTGAATATGCCCACATTCCTCACCTCAGTTCTGTTACAATTCCTACTGTACAAAATGAATCACTTTTATTAACTTCAAATAATGGGAATCTGGAAGCCCTCACTGGACCTGGTACTCCACATATCAATGGGAAGTCTGCATGTGATGAATTTGATCAGTTGATCAAAAACATGGCCCAGGTGAGAGCATTTCTTCCTGTTAGGTATCTTAGAATGCATCTTAAGAATGTGATCAAGTCCTGGGTTACTTAAAAAATGTAAAGGCATTTATAACATGTAAAAATTTTGGTATGAGAAGAGTTTGGATGGTTCTGAGATTTTTCTATTGTATATTTTGTTTTTTAATTATCAAATTTTGAGTATTATATGTTATACTCCAGAAATATTCCTTGAGAAAAAGAAAATATCCTGTTCTAGGAGATAAGTGTTCAAAATTATCTTAGAAAATAATTTTTCAGTTTTGTCTTTTTTTTTTATTCCCATAAACAAAGTAATACCATTTAGTCATAAGATGGAAGTCAACTGCATTAATTGGCTTTTAATTTCATTTCTTGCTTTGTTTTCTAATCAGGGTCGCCATGTGGAAGTTTTTGAGCTCCTCAAACCTCCATGTGGAGGCCTTGGGTTTAGTGTTGTGGGACTCAGGAGTGAAAACCGGGGTGAGCTGGGTATATTTGTGCAAGAGATACAAGAGGGCAGTGTGGCTCACAGGTGAGATTGTCCCAGCGTCTTCTCTTGTTTTTGATATCATAATCAGAAAATTTGATCAGTATGGGGAAATTTAGAAAAGCAAAAACAAAGAAAAACAAACAATAATGAGAGTTGAACATGACCTGATATTAACCAGTTTGGGGAAGTCATTAACATTTTGTGGTGAAAAGCAAGTCCTTTGAAGTAACTGTAGCTTTTAAATAGTATGAATTTATTTTAGTAAGGAAAGAAAAATTTGAGGAGAATATTTTCATTGTTAATAACTGGGCTTTTTTATTAGATTTAAGAATTGCTGTACTAGAAATGAGTGATGATAATTTGAGCTGTGTTTTATAAATATGCTAAGAGAAATAAAGCAATATATGTATCTATACTTTGATTTTTAAAAGATAGGACCATCTAAAATACAATGAGTAGGTTGAATGGGCAGTTCAAAAAACAAACAAAAAAACAAAAAGAGGCCTTTTAAATGGAGGAGTTGCTTAGGAATGGCAGTAGAATTATCTTAAGAAAGTTGACCACCTGGAGCTAAGCATATATTTTATTTTTTCTTAAGAAGTATTTTATTATTTTTCTGTGTCAGTAATTTCTCCATCTAAAATAGACCTCTGAAGAAGACCATGCTTTATTTTATTGTGGATGCACAAGAGGTAAAAGCCGCCCATATAATTCTTATTTATTTGTTCTTTATAGATATATATGATGCTAGAGTGTATTTTGGCATTTCATACATACATGGAGTCTAACTTCCCATTCTTGTGGTTTTACATGATGTGGAGTTACACTGGTTGTGTATTCATATATGAATATAGGGAAATTCTGTCTGATGCATTCTACTGTCTTTCCTGTTTTCATCTTCCCTCCCTTCCCCTTTGTCTAATTCAATGAACTTCTAATCTTCCCTTCCCTTGTTGTGGGTTAGCATCCATATATTAGAACATTCTTCAAGCATATACTTTAAAAATGGAACTGCAGGAAAAAGCTTAAAAAGTGTGGAAATTTAAAAATAGGATTTAAAGTAACCTGAACATATATGCCAAAGAAGCTTTTTCTTTCTTGAGAGCTGTCAAATATCTTTTTATCACCTTGTTTTTCACCTCTGACAGAGATGGAAGGCTGAAGGAAACTGATCAGATCCTTGCTATCAATGGACAGGCACTTGATCAGACCATCACACATCAGCAGGCTATCAGCATCCTGCAGAAGGCCAAAGATGCTGTCCAGCTAGTTATAGCCAGAGGCTCCTTACCTCAGCTTGTCAGCCCCAGAGTTTCCCGTTCTCCATCTGCAGCCAGTACAATTTCAGCTCACTCAAATCCCGTGAGTGCCTGAGATTTTCAAACAGAACAGAACGTACTTTTCTAATTCTTTTTAGTTGTGTACAGGTTTCTAATTCCTATAGGTTCTTTGTATTTCTTGAATTTTTTTAAAAAATTCATATCTCTCAGCCTGGAATATTTGTCATTTAATTATGATTGTTTGCAGCTTCTAAAACAGCCTTTTCTTTGTATAGTTTTTTGACATCATCATTCCTCAAAAACAACAACAAAAAAAAGAAGTATGGTTCTTTCACAAAATTGACTTTTCAGTAGACAGATACAATCTTGACTTTGCTTTATAAATTATACAATTATATTGTTACAGTTGGCTGTCTGTGACTTTAAGAAGTCATGTAATTTGGAATTTTTCCTGTAGGCAAGATTCAAAGGAAGACATTCTTAACACATGACAGTTTTTTTCCTTTATCTTTTTCTATTTTTTTTTAAAGACATTCTACAGGAGATATTGAAAAATCAGTGCTCATCATTAATTGGGAGGAAATGTAAACATTTTAATGATATATTAATAAAAAATAGAAATAAATGTCTTTTGAAAGAGAAGTATACTGAATTAAAGGGTATTCTTAGGGCTCATTGTATTATCTGAAATAAGTTATTTAATACTAATAAAGTGATCACAAAATATCCATTGTGATGTAAAATTTTAGTGTTTCATAAAATTTTAGAAATTCTCATAGGAGCTTTGTCTTTAGGTTCATTGGCAGCATGTAGAAACAATTGAACTGGTGAATGATGGGTCTGGTTTGGGATTTGGCATCATCGGAGGAAAAGCAACGGGTGTGATAGTCAAAACCATTCTGCCTGGAGGAGTAGCTGATCAGGTAAGCTACTCCAATAGGTCTTCATTGATGTTTACCCCAAAGTATGACTTCATCTTTTATACATTCTGTTGGAAAGAAGAAACTTTGGCTTTAAATAATGTCAAAGGAGAAATACTCTTTGGGGAGAAATACTTTTGAAAAGGGACAATGAACTTGAGTTTCAGATACAGACAATGAATTTAATATTCCTTAGAACCACAAACTTAAACCAAGGTTATGGTGAACTACTATATTGATTATAACACTTCATTTATAAAGTTCTTGTTGTTACATGTTTGTTTGAATGTAAACTAGAAAGCCAGGTTTATAAAACATTGATTGTATTCATAAATGAAAGGCCTATTAATGGAAGCCTTTTCATTAGGGATTTAACAATAATATAATAATATATGACATTTTCTTCCTTTAAGACATTAGCATATAGCAGTATCCAATAAAGTTGATAAGCTTTGAGAAATCTATCTTATCTATACTTTATCTTCAATATAGAGCTATCCTCTCCAATATTATTAAATTCAAATTTAAATTCATTAAAATTAAAAGAGATTACAAATCTTTTCCCCAGTTGGACTACCATATTCCAAGTGTTCCACAGCCAAGGGTTGCTTGTAACTGCTGTGTTGGACAGTGTGAAAGTTCTGTTATTGCAGAAAATAGCAGCAATTACATGGAGGCTTATAAGACTAATTCTCATGCCTCTTGTCTATTTGTCTTTTATTTCACTAGAATTTCACATGAAAGTATATTCTTTTGATGTTTATAATTGAAATACCAAGCGACAAAATTATGAGATTTATATAATACTCTATTGTGGTTCATAACATATTTTGAATAATATGTACTATATTTGCCTAGTAACTTCATACTTAATCTTTGCTTAGGACTTTTCTTGTTTCTGTCCCTGAAAAAACAAAAATCACAAAAAAAGCCTTTTTTTTTTTTTTTTCCTGCTTGCATTTAGTGATAGAAATCAGAATGACAAGTTCATATCAGCCCATCAATTTAGGGAGTATTTGTGAATTTTATTTACTTATATCACACTGAGTGGGCTGGAATAGTTCAGAAGACAGTTCATGTTACATGTTCAGTGTCTCATGATTGCCATGTTGTCATCTCATTGCTATCTTCTTTTAGTATTATTCCCTCTCCCTCATTTAGGATTTCTCTGATGGAGTTACAATAACAATACCCTAATGATGCAACCCACCACCCCCTTTTTTTGGTTCAGCATGGGCGATTATGCAGTGGAGACCACATTCTAAAGATTGGTGATACAGATTTGGCAGGAATGAGCAGTGAGCAAGTAGCACAAGTCCTTAGGCAGTGTGGAAATAGAGTTAAGTTGATGATTGCAAGAGGTGCCATAGAAGAAACTACAGCACCCACCTCTTTGGGCATCACCCTCTCCTCTTCCCCAACATCTGTGCCAGAGATGCGGGTAAGTAGATAAAAACAGTTAATGTGAATGTCAGAGAAAATAGCACTTAGATGACAGTGATATTGTTTTAGAAACTAGACTTACTTATGTTTATTATTGGTGTTAAAAATGTAACAAAACTTAGGGAATTTTGTAGAGATGCTTCAGCATTAATAATATTTATTAATCAGGAGTAATGTTTAAAAGAGATGAAAAATACTTGCCTAAAAATGCTGGGTGACTATTTTACTTTTTTTTCTCTAAGTAGCCAATTTATGAGGGTAATGTTTTGAAGTATGGATGAAATATAAAGAATTATGTACTACTAATACCTAAAATGTTGAATTATATTTTTCTCTTAATTAGAAGACTTTCTGTAAAATGGGTCAGTTCTTTCATTCCCATTTGACAGCTTTCTTTTTAGTATTTATGTTTTGTTTTGGAAGTGTGGAGGCTGAAAGTGAGAGCAGGATTGCTGGCGATGAATAAAGCTTTTCAAAACCTTCAGTTTTATTGTTTTAAGGTATGCCTGAGAACTGTTGATCAGATATGTAATGAAATGAGTGGTCATTGTTCTTGACTCAGTTACATAAGCTTTTAGACAAATGTTATACCTTAAGTTTATAAGTTTTTGGACAAATGTTGTAACAGAAACTTTACTCATAGGTGTAACATTCTGTCTTTTCCCTTAACTTGATATGAAAAAAATCTGGAAAATTTCAAAATGATTGAATGGTTTAAACTATCATAACTGGTTTACAGATTGTAAGACTATAGTGGCTAAAATATCAACAAAATAAATTTATCCATAAATATCTTAAATATTTAAGAAAAGAATTATACCAATTTCTAAATAAGATTTATAACAAATGCAAATCCTATATTCCTTTCTCACAGTAATAATATGTTTTTATCTATTAAAGTTGTTTCTATGCATTTTCTATAAAATCTTTCTTCAAATCCGAATCTCTTTCATAAGCCCTTTAAAACTTTATTAGAACACTTGAAATTTCCATGATTCTGTTGTTTTTAGGATTGAGTTTGGTTGCTATTTTTTGCAAAGAGAAGTAAGAAAGAAAGCTTGTTTATGAAAGCATTTAAATGGCATTCTTTTGTGGTAAACAAAACATTTTATTCAGCAATATATAAATGAATGCAATACCGAAAACTACTTGATGTAATTGAAAGCTTAGAAAAATATCTATTCTGTGCATATCATCATTTCTGAAGCTTGTGCCCCTTTTAAAACCATTCGATAGTCAAATTGCCACCCTCTAAAATAGCACTCGCATAAGTCTTATTAAAAATAGAAAACACATTTGTTTCAATTGAAGCAGATTTCATCCTGTCATTTTCTTGTAATTATATAAACTTTAAACTTTTGCTAAGTTTGCACAGATAATTATGTGCAATGAAAAAATAAATCAAACTTTACTGAAAAATTTATCTCATTTAGGTGGACCAACAGTGGGATATATTCAGTTTGTTTGAAGAAAATCAGAAATATTATCAGCTAGCCCCAAGCTGCATGTTGATTAGAACTCAGAGTCTTGATTTTGTCATTTTCTTCTTAGGGTTCTCTGTAGAATTTGCTTACGTCACACTAATGCATAGTCCCAATAACTTATTGATGACATATTATACCAGTCCACTAATGCTTAATGTGGGAAAACTGAGCTTTCAGTCTACTGTATAATGAATAACAACTCTGCATGTTATTAAAAGCTTACATCTGTGGAACCTACTTCCAGCTGTCATTCCAGGAAGGAGGAATCCTAATGAACAAAGGATTTTCATAGTAAAGTCTGAATTTACCAAAGGGCAGTTTAAAAGACTTCCTTTATGCATTTTATTGATTTTCAAAATGAGTCATCAGCCTATTTATAATAAAGCTGAAGGATAGATTTATCCATATTTGTGTTATTAGAATCAACTACAAACTTCGGATAATAATAGCAGCTAACATGTAGGCACTGTGGCTGCTCTGTTCTACTAGAAGTGGTCCATACAGTGTGTCATTTAAGAGTAGCAACTCCACAATAAGTGTTAGGATTTGAATTCTACTTCTACTAAGTTGTTAGCGATTTGTCTTTAAAATAGTTTATGTGCCTGTTTTCTCATAGAACAATTGATTCAGTAATTTTACCACCTCATGGTATAAAAGGAATATAAAACATATCATTATAAGGAATAATAAATTAAGATGTCAGTTGCCTCTTACATGGAAACTGCTTAATAAATAGTAGCTGGACTGGTTGTTGTTACTCTTCTCCTGTTAGACAGTTGTGCAAACTAATGTTTAGAAAATCTAGTGGCAAAGCTAGGTTTGTATTTGTTGATCTGAATTCAAGACTTGAATTCTTTCAACTGAGCCACATTTAGACTCCTTCAGAAATGAAGATGTGTCATCTATGAAAACAGAATTTGTTAAGAAAAACCCATTTAATTAAAAAAAAAAGTGTGTACAAACAGTGTATCTCTCCAATAAGGGGAGATTCAATCTTAACATTCCTTTCTGAGTAAAAATGTGATTCTCAGTTCATCAATGTTGCATGATTGAAGTAATAATCTCTACTGTAACTCTCTAACAGAGTTCTCTGACACCTTGTTATGTCATATTATTCCTCAGTTAAAGCTATGGCTTTGTGAACTTGTTTTTTTCTTTTTTTACATGTTTATTTTTTGTATATTTATTTATCGATTTTATTTCAGGTTGATGCTTCTACTCAGAAAAATGAAGAAAGTGAGACATTTGATGTGGAACTCACTAAAAATGTCCAAGGATTAGGAATTACCATTGCTGGTTATATTGGAGATAAAAAATTAGGTAATTTTACATCTTAAATTTTTTTTTAAATTTGGGAATTGCCTCTAGTATCTGTGTCTTATGAAATATTTAATCAACATTATATGTTTTCAAATAGTTTGGTAAATTATTTGAAAACATCCTTAGAAATAATTTAGTGTAGGTAACTCTAAACAAACAAAACAATTACCTTATCCTTTCTACTAGAGATTTTGTTTGTGTGGCTTTTTGATAGTTATTTATTCACAATTAAAGCTTTTTATTTGGAGAATGTAGGATGGATTTTTTTTAATGTGTTTGTAAATAGCGAAAAATAACCTATTTCTAATCTTAGAACCATCGGGAATCTTTGTAAAAAGCATCACAAAAAGCAGTGCTGTTGAACATGATGGAAGAATTCAAATTGGAGACCAAATTATAGCAGTAAGTTACACATTTAATAATAGCTTTGTCAAATTTCATGGTCGAGAATGCATTTTCCTAGTTTATACTCAGTTCTGAGAAAACAGTTAACTGTACTGATTTAATCTTTTCTTTAGTGGCTTGAGGCTCTCATTACAATTATCCTTTTTATTATTTTGTGGAAACAAAATAGCATTGGATAGAAGCTCTACTGATCTCAATTCTAAAGCAAAGGTTTTTTTCTTAAACAATTTCTGATACTTTTGATTTCTGGTTGTAATGAATTTCTTACTGTTACTATTACAGTTCTCCTTGGAGATACTACAAAGGTAAAGACCAGATGTAATGACCATCAGTGTATTTGAGTCTCAATTTGGGATGTGTGGCATTTGTTTTATCAGCAGAATGATGCTCCTGCTTTGACTCCCCGGGCAGAGAGCACCTTTTAGCTCTAATATAAAAGAATAACAAACAGATTCAGCCACTTTTAATTAGATCAGTTCATCATGCTATTGTAATGACATCAGTATATATGTCTGTTTGAGGCAGTGTATAGAAGAATCTAACCTTCAAATAAGTGTTCAGTAAATACTAGACTTCACAAACCGCTTCCTGAAACACAAATTCATTAGTCCCATACCAGTTGCTTCCTAATTGAAATAAGTTTAGTGAAAAATATATATTATATAGTCTTTTAGAGATTCACTGTGTACCTTGAAAAACTGAAGACTCTGTGAAGTCCTGCAGTAGAGAAACTTGTTTACCTCTTTTACCCTGATGGTTCCAAATATTATAATTGTGGAATCTTTCTTTCTTTGGAAGACATCTTGGGTAATGCTGATTTATCTTCATAAGTATTTGTGTATGCTTAATTAAGCCTATTTTGGTTTTGTTCCTCAGGAATCTTAATGATAGTGAGGTGGGGCACAGATAAAAGAGTCCTTGAGTATAGCAACATTATGCATGGTCCATGGAAACAACCAGATGTGTAAGGATCAATGAGTGGATAAGCAAATTTGGGTATATTCATACAGTGGAATGCTAGTCAGTCTTTTAAAAGAAGGAAATCCTGTCACTTTCTATAACATGGATAATTCTCAAGGATATTATGCAAAGTAAAATATGCCAGTCAAGAAAGACAAATTTACTGTATGATTCCACTTATTTGAGGTGTGTGAACTAATCAGACTTAGAGAAATGGAAGGTAGAATGGTGTTACCAGAGGCTGGGGAAAGGGCAAATGTGAAGTTGCTCAGTGGAATAGAGATTCATTTTGCAAGATGAAAACGTCCTATAGATCTGTCATAGAACAATGTGAATAAAATGGTTAAGATGGTGAATTTTATATATTTTTTACCACAATAAAAAAAAGATATAGGGTTCTTTTATCTCTGCCTTTTGAGTCTAATTGCATCTCCCTGAGTCTTCTTGAGTATAATTATATGAAGCTCCTACCTACACACTTGTTCAAGTCTTGAAATCAAGTTGAGTTCACCACCTCGTCTGGCTACCTGCTAGAACTGGTTTCCCTAGTGCATCTCCATTTTACCATGCAATACAAATTAGTCCCCTTGTGTTTTTATTTTAAGGGAAAGGGAGGGAGAGAGACTAAATAGATAGAGAGTCTAAATTCATATATGATGCTGAATTAAAAGTTGAAAATTTGACTAATTTACTTTTTCTTCTGTATCTATATTAGTTCATCAGAAAGTTTCTTAAAAACCAGTTTTATTGAAATATTATTTATATGCCAAGAACCTCACCCATTTAAAGTATATGTTTCAGTAGCTCTTCATATATTCACATTGCTAGAGGTTCATTATCACAATCAATTTTAGAACATTTTCATTACTCTAAAGAGAAGCCCCCTACCCTTTAGCAGTTGCTCCCTAATTTCCTCATCTTCTCTGCTCTAGGCAGCCACCAGCCTACTTTCTGCCTTTGTAGATTTGCCTATTCTGAGGCATTTCATGTAAATAGAATCATATAAGATTTGGTCCTTTGTGATTGACTTCTTAGAGTGTTTTCAGGGTTTGTCTGTGTTGTAGCATGTGTCTATTCTTTATATTCTTTTATTGCTGACTAATAGTCACTGTATGGGTACACCACATTTACTCATTCATCATTGGATAAATATGTGGGTTGCTTTCACTTTTTGGCTTTTATGGATAATGCTGCTGTGAACATTCATGTACGATGTTCTGCTTTATGTATATTTTCATTTCTCTTGGATATATACTAACGAGTGAAATTGATGGATCTTATCATAATTCTGTTTAACCATTTAGCTAATTGCTTGTACATCATAAACATTATATATGTGTGTGTGTATAATTTTTATTTGTGAATTTTAAAAGTTAATAATAATTTAAAAGTCACAGACTAGTGCAGTAGTGATACAGACTTCTGTTCAAAGAATATATTATCTCAATGATTTATGGTTTGTTGGATAGCAAACAGTTAGTATCAAACTCAGCAATGGTCTCTTTTTTTTTTTTTTTAATTTTTTTTTGTAGTTGTAGATGGACAGCATGCCTTTATTTTATTTATTTATTTTTATGTGGTGCTGAGGATCAAACCCAGGGCCTCACACATGCTAGGCAAGCACTCTGCCACTGAGCTACAACCCCAGCCCCGAGCAATGGTCTCTTAATACTGTGTTAAATTGCATATAAACACTCTTGCTTCTTAAATGCTCCTTCAACCAATTACAACATCTTACTAGTTCTTTCATTCATTAACAAGTTAAAATCTTTGGCAAGCCATTTTGTATTTGCCATGATTTGCATTTCTGCAAATTATATTTTAACACTATTCACTGAATAATTCATGTGAAATAGTGTTGTAGATGTTTGGATTTGAAGCTTGGTAAAAATGACCACTCTGTGGTATAAATGCACCACCAGTAGTTAAATTTTACTGTAATCACCTCTAAGATACATTGCAACAAATGATATCAAATGAATCAAGATGGGAAACCCAAAGAACCATGGGTTTCAGGGAGAGAGACTCAAATGGTAGGTACTCAGATATTCTTCCTTTCTAGGATGAAGTGCTGCCAAAATACAAGAAGTCCAGGGTTGGTGGGAGGTCTTGACCATATTGCCTCATACTTTTTTTTTACTGAGCTATGTTTCCTGTAACTTGCACCAAGTTCTGATGTAGTTTCTGACTATATTACTTCTGGTATCTTCTTAGCAATCTTTTTGAAAATTTCTTTACCTACAAAATTAGAATAAGGAAATGTCACTTGTATGATTGTTTAGGAGAACCAAATAAGATCTTTATTTAAAATATCTGATGTCATACTTAGCACATAAGTAAGTCCTTCATTCAAAATATCTTATGTTATACTTAGCATAGAAGTACATTTTAATTAATTAAGGCGATAATTATTTGAGGGCCTAAAATGGTTACATCTTGGAAAGAGTCTCACAGTACTTTCTCTCTAAACCCATCATTATCTTCATTCTTATATAAGTGGAATCTCAAATATAATTCCTCTTAGGCAAGGTCAATGATAAAGGAAATTGTTGACTCAAAAAATAGAAATGCCTTTTTGTTTGGAGTGTTTTCTTATATTCAGTGAAATCACTTGCTTTCCTTGTCATCAGTATTTTGAGTTTTACTTGACAACTTCTAGCAACATTTTCTTACTTCAAAGTTAGAAGCATCTGTAAATCCTGGGGCGCTTATGTAATACTTTAGATCATGCATTAATTTTGTGCAAAATATCACCATCTTGTGGACTTTTGGTATATGGTAGTTGCATTTTCACGACTGTAGTCTTTTTTTGTCTATTTGTTCTATTTTTGTTGTGACAGCAGCTATTGGAGCTATAGTCTATTTTTATTTTGTAATTGTAATATTGTGAGAAGACTGAGAAACTATTTCTTACTATTTTTAGGGAGTATTGTTTTATAACTTAAAAGTACTTTATTCTAAAATTCTTGTTTCACAGACTGTTCTGTGTATGTATATGGTTTCACTATAGGCATTACAGGGCAGGAAATAGAGTAAACATTCTATTCCTTCCTCCCCCTTTTCATTTGTTGGTATTCTATGTAATGATTATTTGAAAAAAGGTCTATTGTGTTTTCAAAAAGTTGACAAGCTTGTTAGATAAAATTATTTTATTATAATTAATATTAATGATAATAATTAACTCATTATTATTAAATTATTATTATATTTTGATATTCAGTGATCCATGCCCAAACCATTATGACTGATAAAATATTAAACAAATATATAAATCAGAAAAAGTTTCAAGTGTGGCTTTTGAATTTCTGTGACTTTGTTAAGAGTTTCAGGTTCTCTATAGGTAATGGCTCTGTTGGAGGAGGGCTTGGCAGTCTACATTGAATATGCTAAGGAGCCTAGGTCTGTGAGCTGTGCCAACTAGTGTTTCTACCCTAAATTGTTCCTGTAAATGGCAGTATCTGCACTGCACATTAGGAGATGTTATCTTTTCTTCATGAGAGAGTGTAGAGGCAGTTTACTGCCATTGTACCTAATTTCACTTCACATTTCTTTGGTGTCATTGAGTCTGAACTGGGCTCCTGAGTTTGTGGTAAGTGTGACTCATATGTAGATGGATGTGAATATATTGACAGAAACTGCTCCCAGGGAATATTGGGGTTTGTATGTTTATTACTCATATCTTCATTCTGTTAATAATAATGCCAGCCCTTGACTATCTTCCCAGTACAATGTGCTGTGTATTACAATTCTGGAAATATAGATATCCTTAGTTCCATATTACAGATGAAGATACTAGAGAAATTTGAACTGAAGTCAAAAGCCATTATAGCAATTTTTTCTCTTCTAGTAGTGTCCTCTAATATTTGGGTAAGGAATGTATTATAAAATCCAAGTTACTAAGTTTTGAAAAACATGGGAAATAATTTTTTTCTACACACATTTGAGGCATATTACTCTTACAAAATCACACACATTCGATTTTTCTTAATGCAAGAATTGAGCAATAACAATCTATTGCAAATGAAAAATTTGTAGCCTAAATTTTGTGTATTTTAAGAAGTTTTTAGAATCTCACTATTAAGATTTTTGAAAGTTTTTTAAAATTTTTTTTCTTCATTACCACAAGAGTA